CCTCAAAAACAGGAAGGCCAGATTAGAGTTTGACAAACAACATCTAAAAAAGCATTCACAGTTCTGGAACAACATCCTATGGACATATGAGACCAAGATTAACTTGTACCAGAGTGATGGGAAGAGAAGCGTATGGAGAAGGAAAGGAACTGCTCATGATCCAAAGCACACCACCTCATCAGTGGTGGTAGTGTCATGGCGTGGGCATGTATGGCTGCTAATGGAACTGGTTCTCTTGTATTTATTGATGATGTGACTGTGACAAAAGGATGGATTCTGAAGTGTTTCAGGCAATATTATCTGCTCATATTCAGCCAAATGCTTCAGAACTCATTGGACGGCGCTTCACAGTGGAGATGGACAATGACCCGAAGCATACTGCAAAAGCAAACCAAAGAGTTTTTTAAGGGAAAGAAGTGGAATGTTATGCAATGGCCAAGTCAATCACCTGACTTGAATTCGATTGAGCATGCATTTCACTTGATGAAGACAAAACTGAAGGGAAAATGCCCCAAGAACAAGCAGGAACTGAAGACAGTTGCAGTAGAGGCCCGACAGAGCATCACCACGGATGAAACTCAGCGTCTGGTGATGTCTATGCGTTCCAGACTTCAGGCTGTAATTGACTGCAAAGGATTTGCAACCATGTATTAAAAAGTGAAAGTTTGATTTATGAGTGTTAATCTGTCCCATTTCTTTTGGTCCCTTAAAAAGTGTGAGGCACATATACAAACTGTTGTAATTCCTACACCGTTCACCTGATTTGAATGTAAATACCCTCAAATTAAAGCTGAAAGTCTGCAGTTAAAGCACATCTTGTTTGTTTAATTTCAAATGCATTGTGCTGGTGTATAGAGCCAAAAAGATTAGAATTGTGTCGATGTCCCAATATTTATGGACCTGACTGTAGATATGGAGTACCTGAAGTGATTGAAAGTGACAGAGGTAGCCATTTCACTGGGGAAATAATGCAAGAAATTATGAAAGCCTTAGGGATCAGTCAACCCCCAGAGTAGTGGGAAAGTAGAAAGGGCACCTTAAAGAACAAAATTGCAAAGGACATGCAAGACACAGGGAAGCCCTGGACTGAATGCCTTCCCCTAGCACTCTTTCCTATGAGATTCACCACCAATTCCATACATGGCCTATCCCCTTTTGAGACCCTGTTTGGATGTGCCCCAAAGACAGGCCACTATTTTCCCGAGACCCTCCAGATGCAGCATGGTAGTATGACTGCCTATTTACAGGCCCTACACCAAAGATTAGGCAGGGTGCATAAACAAGTCTTTGATTCTATTCCAGATCCAGACTCTGATTCTGCAACTCACAAACTGCAGCCTTGGGATTGGGTGGTGATAAAGAGTCCATGCCATGTGCTCCTGACTACTGCTACCTCAGTGAAACTAGAAGGAAAAGACACATGGATACATGCCAGTCACTGTAAACAAGTCACTCCGACTGATCCACCGACATTAAGCTGTTCTTATCCTTTACCATTGTATGCTCTGTTCAGATATGCTACTCTGACTTGAGACTAGAAGAAAATAATGTAGGGCAGGGAAATATATGGTTGCAGATAGCAAAGGCTTTTAATTTAACCTCCTTTTGCCTCATCCCTCTCCTCAGTACTGAAAATGCCATAGAATCTTGTCTTATAGCTGTCCCTACTCCCATCTCACTGTTGAGGAAGTACCTACATACCTACAGACCCCATAAATCTCTACAACTATATTCTTATGCTTTCAACCCGCTGGTAGGCAAACCTCCCCTAGCCCTGATGACAATTAATGTGACAGCCGCTGAACTATGTTGGTCTTTTTCATGTAATTGTTCAAGAGACCCTAATACTGAATCCCTGTTTTGCCCCACATGGTGGCAAAATGCCACAAATTGTAGAGCCCTGAGCACCACTGAATTGTACCAAAACTCACCAAGTTGTGAGTTACCACTACAATGTCTATCTTCCAAAAGGATGGATTTTCTCCTGTGGAAATATTATTTATGCTTATGTCCCAGGTAACATTACAGGAGGTCCCTGTGCAATCTCACGCCTAACCATGACCATGTTTTCCAAATCTGACCTGATCCCTGAAACCACCCAGCTACACAAACTGCTGAGAGACAATAGAGATGTTAAAAACACCCTTACTTCAGACTGTAACAATGAAATCACTCTTATCTAAATCTGAATACTCTGCCCTAGCGTACTCTATGGTAGGAGTCCCAGGCTTAGCACTGTATAATACCCGGGTCAACTGCTTGGAAGGCAGCTATGCTCGTCACTATACCATCAACTGTAATACCCGAGTAATTAATGCTGTAGCCTGTTCCCTTGGAAAGGGTTTAAATGCCACTTAAGCCTTAGAAGAACTACTTATGGACACCCAGACAAATAAGAAAGCAATCCTTGAGAATAGAGCAGCCATTGACTACTTACTAATGAAACATGACTTAGGCTGTGAAGCTATTGAAGGTATGTGCTGTTTTAACCTATCACTATGATCCATAAAACATATAAAAGATTTACAGGACTTAGTACAGGATATCAAACATGATACTGGCTTCTTTGGGGATTGGGATTGGACATTTGGGCTAGGAACATGGTTGACTTTACTAATTAAGAAAATGTTGTACTTTTTGCTATATTTGTTATTATGGCCATTTTTCTAACCTTTAGATTTTTCTCATGTCTACTAACCTCCCTATGTAAAAACAAACCTACTGTTGGTCATACCTTAACTTACATTCCAGCTCCGACTTCGGAAGGGTTTTACAATGTTACCTCGCCTAACAAATGGAGGAACTCTCCTCCGCTGATTCTGGTGGTCTGGTTTCTTTAAGCAATAACCTCTTACCTACTTTCAGTGCATAAGATGTTTATGCCAATTTGTCTTAGCTTAATACAAAAACAAGTAATGCATAACATCATCAAGGCTATGCTACATCATCCTGACACTCCATTTTGTCCTAGAAATATGTTTACGCCAATTTGTCTTAGCTTTATACAAAAACAAGTAATGCATAACATCTTCAAGTCTATGCTACGTCATCCTGACTTACACCATTTTGTCCTAGGATAATGGAAATTCCCCAAGTCAGGGAATTTCCCATGACGTGTGCACCCTTTACGTTTTAGTTATGGCCTTGTATATCTTTGCCAAGTTAAGGGAGATGCTAAACAAAACATCTAAGATATAAATATGTCTACTTTTTAAATGTTAGCACACAGATGAGAGAATTTGAGACAGAGACAATGCTCCATATTATAATGACTGAGAGATGTTGACATGTTCAAGAGGGTATGTCATTCTTTTTGATAATATTGCAAGCATATACTTTAATCTTATAAACTCTGATACAAATTATTGTAATGGATTTGATATGTCTATATTTATATTTTGAATTAATAAAATATCTAAAAGGACAAAACTTTATTACTTCCAAGACAATCCTTATTTTATATTGTATTATCAATTATTTATAGATTTTAAATAGAGAATCTCTTACTGACTATATAATATTATGGCTAAAATAACTGTATGGTTAGCCCTGCTAAGTTCTATGCTTTAAGACATTATGGTGGTAAATAGGGGAACCGGCTGCGGTTACAATAGTATATTACTTGCATGTTCTTCTGGTCTAACTATTTAATCATAGACTTACACATTAGTGTAATCACTCCCCAGCCAGCTTTCCTACACAGTACTTTGTGTATGCACATTTTGCTTTCTGTAGAGATTGTTTATTCACTATTACATGGGGTGATAAATTTAAAATAAGTTGATTACTTGAAAAATGAAGGTCAATATATTCAAGGAATAATACATTTCCACATTAGCAAGGGACTGGATGTGGAAAAATCACTTTGGATATTACGGTAACGCAAACAGAAATGGTCTCAATTTCATATTTTTAACTTTTATAATTAAAAACTAAAATGCCTGTTATCTTGTATTCTGCCATGCTGTATTTAACAACCATTCTACAATCCAAAGAGGTTTGATCAGGAATGATCTTTGCAGAAGGGTAGCAGCCAAGAAATCACTTTTTTGGAAGGGGAACAGGGTGAAAATAGTAAGGTATGCTAACACTTGAATGCATACCCTTTATGCAAACAATGGAATGCATACCTTTCCACAAGGACCATTCCTGATCAAGCTTCTTTGGACTGTAGAATGGTCAACTTGGCATCCCAATGAAGCTGCCAGATGCTAAGCCAGATCCTTGCTGGACTTCTTCCAGTTTCTTAAGGACGAAACTCTGGTGATTCTTCAAATTTATTTATAATAGCTTGAATTGAGTATCCATCTTGAGCATCCAGTTTTGTTTGTTGATATTCCTTTGAAATCTACAGCCTATATACTGCATACAAATTTCCTGTATTTTCTGGTTGTATTCTAATTATATGTGGGCATTATACCATTGCTAAAACAACAAATCTAATGAAATACTTTTGCACAGTACTGTGTGTATTTATTTTTTTAAAACAAGGATCTTGATTTTATTCTTTTGTAGAGAGGACAAATTGTGCAGCCTACATATTGTAGATATATTGAAGATAATATTAGGTGTGCTATATTGACTTGTCAGTTGGATACCCCATTCATTTTAGTTTAATGAAGCTGTTTTGCTGTATAGATAGTGCCCCAGCAATCTCACTGCTCAATTCTCTGCCATTTAGAAATTAAAACACTTTTGTTTCGGGGTGTGTGGCTTGCTGCACTTCAGCAATATGACCTTAACATAATCCCTGATATCGGGGAAGCCATAGGGAAGCACTCCAAAAAACGTAAAATGCTATCTGGTGAGGGAAGCGAGAGCATTGGGAACTTTTCACCACGCAGCCTAAAACCAAAATGGTGTCACCGCCCGATGTTTCAAGTTTATCGTCCTCCTCCGAGGACTTAATGGATGCCCCTGACCCTATACCAGAGGCAACACTGCCACCACCTAACTTGCAGACAGAGAACTGAGGAGCACCGGCCACCAAAGGGGACATTATGGAACACATGGTCAACATAAGGACCTTCTTCCGCACAGATCTGGCAGTGGTCAGGGAGGAAGTGTTAGCGGTTACAGACAGGGTCAAGGCGACTGATAAGGACATATCCTCTCTCTCACAACACCAAGCTGGCACAACTGAACAGAGCCAGCCTTTGCAGACCTCACCCACAGCAATGCAGGTGCAGCTGGACACGCTGGATAATGCCCGCTGGCACAACAATTTAAAAGTCAGAGGCATAGTGGAATTTTTTACGGATGGTGAACTGCCGCACTTCTTCAGACACCTCTTCTCAGCCCTACTGCCCCAACTGCGCAGAAAAAATTATCTCAGAGATAGCACACATCGTCTCCCTAAGTCCGAAAAGGCACCGCTTGAAGCTCCCCGAGATGTCCTGCTCCGTGTTCTAATATTTCAGGACAAGCTGGCGATACAGGAGGCACTCAAATCCAAGACCCCACTTAAGTTGGAGGGCATGCAACTTACCTTCCTACAGGACTTATGTAGGGCTACATTGGAATGGAGACGCTCCATCCAGGAAGTCACAACAGTGTTCAGGGAGATGAAAATTAGCTACAGATGGGGACCATTCCACACTCGCAACATACCGGCTTATGGCCTCAGAGACTTCAACCTCATTCCTTACAGAGCTGGGTCTTATACAGCACTGGGCCTGCACTCCTGCAACACGTAGCTCCTGGGATGTGCAGAGCATTGCCCCCTTCGTACCCCACTCGAGAGTGGACACTGGCTGAAAAGCATGTTCCAGGGAAATCCCTTTCTTTGGCCTATGCCCAGCCCTCTGGACTCCACAGTTATCTACAAGCTGTTATCCAAGTAATATCCATATATAAGTATATGCACTGGCCTTCTCCCCCCTTTTTGTTTTTCTCTTTCTCATTTCTTTTATCGTATTATATTCTGGTGTGTACATCATTTTTTGACGTCTACTCCCATTATGACTAGAGGGGAACATTGAGAATCTGTTACGCACTCCCCCATCCCCCCATGATGCCAAGGGGATATTGGACACTGTAACTACCGCAGTTCCCCATAGTAATGCCGCATTCTGATGCTCCACATACTGACATGCATTTAGCACCCCTGCGCTACACTGCTTCCCTCACCCATCAGATGGCAATTAACAGTCCACATCAGAGAGTGGAGTCTCTCCGGGAAACAACCTCATTTTAATTTCCCCTACTAAGTTGGGGATACCAATACCACAATGGCCACCTATAGATTTATACCGAAAGCCCCAGTGGTCCTCTGCGCCTGTTTTCGGGTAGTTACACTTTTTTTCATACTTCTGTTTTTCTATTACAAATAGCCAGTTATTATTAAATTAAATGTTATTTCTGATGTACTATCAATGACTCTGACATGTGCTATATCCCTTTAGCCCTATTGATACGCTACCGTACTGTAACGAACGCTTGGTTTTTCGTATACACGTTCGTTCGTATGCTCCCGAAAGGCTAGGGACTTAGTGATTATGGCCCATTCGCTTAGAGCTCTGATTCGTACGTTCCCAAAATTCAAAGTGCACAAAAAAGTAAATCCAGAGGTTCATGAGTCACATACCCAAACATCAGGATGACAGTCCGTAAAACATAAAATGTTAAAAATACATAAAAACACATAAATTACATAGAGGACCCCCACAAATATTATATCCCCGGATAGCTTCAATCTGAGCACCAAAGTTGTCCAAATAGCGCTTAGATCTCACAAACACAGCCGAATCGCCACTGGGTTAAAATTTTGACCGACTGCTCATGAGGTTTCTGCCCAAATCAGTTCGACAGTTACAGTGGAAGCAGTCGGTCAATTTCAGGCGTTCCAAACTGAACAAAAAGATGAACCGTTGCCGTGACTCATAGGTAGCATTTGTTCGCATTGTTTGTGCGAACAAACCTACCAAACAGCACTCTCTTGGCTTTTTCGCTGAAAGAAGCAGACGTTCATATAGTTCTACCGGTGTTTGCAAGGTCGAGTGTCTGACTTAGAGTTCCAGACACTCAACTACCAAGTCCCACTGCTTGTGTTCGTGTGACAAGATGGCCGCCATTTTCTCCAGCACGTAGCGTTCGGTTATACAAATGGCGTCCACACAGAGAGAGCAATTAAGTCTGTGCTTTCTTTATAGTTAATGAGCCACGGGAGTGGTCGGTGTTCAGTAGATTTGTCTAATGAACGCATGGAAAGTGTTTCTGTTTGGGAACTATATAAAAAAAAACAGGGAAATGTCTTGTGAGCAAAATGGAAAGTATTAGGTTTGGCACAAGGTATATGGCCCATAGTCGGTGGGTGGGAGGCTAGCTTCCACACTCCTCAAGGAATTTGTGGTAAACATCCAGGGTAAGGAGCATTTGTCACATATCTTCCCCCTCCTGGGGAGACTAACCAGACCCCAGACCTCCAATCGGTCTGGGTCTGTGTTAGTCTGGTGTCCTTTTCCAAAAGATGTAGTGCTCCAGAGGGCTTCCTGTCCCAAGCCCCAATGTAGATATCAGGGTCTTTCTGGGAAGATACAAAAAACAATATATGTGTGCACAAACCACAGTGCAATAAGTGCTCGGTAAATAATTAGCAGAAAAAAACCTCCCTGAACCAGGTAGGACTTCCCCAAAGACTTCCTCTTGTCTTCAATGGAATGTATACAGAAAAATAGGGGATAATCTGCTAAATCAATGACAAGAACAATACATAGCAGAACTGTGTATATGAATAAACCAAGTGTACAATTCACAAATGGCCACTCACACTCTCGCTGGAATTAGAGAGCCTTTAGAATAAATTCCTTTTTCAGCATGAATGCCTTTTCAGAAATAATTCTTCCATCTCTATTCAATATCTCATGGATTGGCTGAAAGGTGTGTGCTCAAAGAAAAAACAATAAAATGCACATTTAAAAATGTAGAAAAAATAATTTAATAACTTACATCAAGATATAAAACAATAGATGTATTCTCACTGTCACCACCAGGGGTCGAGAGTGTGAGTGGCCATTTGTGAATTGGACGAACAAGATTCAGTTCAACCTCTCACGAATTTTAAACCAGAAAGCTGGTTTACACCCAATTTAAAGGAAATCTCTAAAAATGACTACTAATGAGTCTTTAGATCCCCCTACCTCTTACAAAGACAACTTAACTCTGGCAGAAAGAAGGGCCCTAATAGAATTAAGTCGAGAATCTAATTTGGTCATTAAGTCATCAGATAAAGGTGGTAACATCGTACTGATGGACAAAGCTAATTACATTGAGATGTGCATGGAACATCTTGAAAATACTGATATGTATCGCCGTCTGCCAACAGATCCAACCACCGAATACCTAACCGAATTAAAATCCATTTTGGAAATTGCAGAAATTGAAGGCATCATTAGTAACGACTAATTAAAATATATTCTTCCAAATATGACTCCAACCATTGCCACCTTCTATTGTCTTCCCAAAATTCATAAAAATCTAGAAAAACCACTGGGAAGACCAATCGTGTCAGGCAACTGTTCAATCACAGAGAGAGGTAGCAAATTTCTTGAAAAACTACTACATCCATTAGTGGTTAATTTAAAGTCCTATCTTCAGGACACAAAACAGACATTGATACTATTGGAAAATTTGGAGGTACCTCCATACTGCCTATTAGGTAGCCTGGATGTTGTAGCTCTTTACAATAACATTCCACACACCATAGGTATACAAGCTACCTCCTATTTTTTGAATAAATCACCGGAGTTTACATCTGCACAGAGTAATTTCATTATCAAATTACTAGAATACATCCTTACTCATAATTTTTTTGTATTCAATGGTCAATACTACCTACAGTTGAAGGGTACAGCTATGGGCACGGCTTGTGCCCCTAGCTATGCCAACCTATATTTAGGTTGGTGGGAAGAGACCATTTTACCAGCTATCACCAAGGACCAGTATGACACATATATCTATAGTTGGCATAGATATATTGATGACATACTGGTCTTTTGGTTGGGGTCGATCAAACAATTTCAAGATCTAGTGAATCTACTTAACATCAATAACATTGGCCTTCAACTTACATATGTGATAGATTTGGAATATCTGGTCTTTCTGGATTTAGATATCCAGATACAGGAGGATGGCAAAATTGAAACCACACTTTTCAGAAAAGACACAGCAACTAACAGCTTACTAAATTGGACAAGCTATCATCCAACAAAACTAAAATCTGGGATACCGTACGGCCAATATCTCCGCGCGAGACGAAATTGCTCTAATGAATCAACCTTCCAATTGGAAGCAAAGAAATTGAGATTAATGTTCAAACAGAAGGGTTATCCTAATAGGGTTCTTAAACGAGCCTATCAACAAGCCCTGTCCATTAACAGGAGTGATAGCCTGAGAAACATCAGACCTAGGACTGAAACAAAGACAACTCGGTGTATTGGCACCTATGATCTCTATTGGGACAAGATTCGAAAAATTATCTCTCGTAATTGGCCCATTTTACAACATGATATGGATCTAAGTGATAGTATTGAAAAATTTCCCCTGATGACTGCTCGGAGAGCAAGAAATTTGAAAGACATTCTTGTTCACAGTCACACAGAACCCGTCAGGTCACTACAATCCACCTGGCTAAAACAAACTACTGGAGTATTTCGATGTGGGCACTGCAAAACCTGTCAGTTTATTAAACCAACA